TTGGATTTCAAAGATAAAACAGAAATTCTTAAAAAATCTTATCATCTAAAAGGAAAAAATATTTTCATCAATGAAGACTTTTGTCCGGAGACCACACAAAAAAGAAGAGCTTTAAAAGAAAAGATGAAAGTAGAGCGAGCGGCGGGGAAATGCGCTTTTGTTTCGTACGATAGGTTGATCATACGTGATTGGGCTTCCAATCGAAAAAAGAATTAGGTTCGTTTATATTTTAACTCTTTTTTATTCATGTATATATATTACCTTATTCTTTCTTTATTTTATTTAAAATTTTAAGTTTTTAAAATGGAGGATAACTTTTCTACAAAATTTAACTACGAAGATCTAAAGCTTAGTGATAATGATAATGAAAATTTTTTTTGTGAAAAAAGCTTTGAAACTGAGTATTTTTCAATTTCTGAATCTACTCATTTTCTTTCTCAGAACAATAATGCTTTCTCAATTTTAACTCTGAACATTCGGAGTATGAGTAAAAAATTTGAAAACTTTAAAATTTTATTGCATAACCTCAAACACGATTTTAAAATTATCTGCCTTACAGAAACGTGGCTTAAAAACAGTGAAAAATACGCACGTTTTGAATTAGCCAATTACGCATCAGTTCAGGGTCAGGGTTAGGGTCATAAACATGCTGGTGGTGGGGTGAGTTTTTTTATTCACAACTCATTAAATTTTATTCACCGTAATGATCTTTGCGTGAACGAAACAGATTGTGAGTCGTTATGCATTGAAATAATGAATAAAAAGGATAAAAACATTTTCGTAAACTCTATTTATAGACAACCAGCTGGAAACTTAAAAAAATTTAAAGCTCACATTAAAAATTTTCTAACCCAAACCAGTAAAAATCGGAAACATGTATACTTAGTTGGAGATTTTAACATAAACATTTTAAATTATGCATCAAAAAATGATGCTAAATGCTTTATTGACACCATTTTGCAATATAATTTTATTCCAACAATAAATAAGGCAACAAGAATAACAAAGACATCTTCAACATTAGTCGACAACTTAACAAACAATTTTCACAAATCCTGCATAAGAACAGGCATAATTAAGACCGACATAAGTGATCATTTTCCGATCTTTGTAACCACTAAAAACATAACATTAAAAAGCAATTCCATAAAATCAAAATCTTTGGTACGTCAAATTAATGAAAACTCCTTAGCACGATTTCGCGATCTATTAAAAAATTCTGTTGATTGGAACTTAGTGTATGAAACACAAAATGCAAATAATTCTTATGAATTATTCCTCACGTTTTTTAGTAAACAATATAATAAGGCATTTCCTTTAATCGAACAAAATTTAAATTCTAAGTCTATTTTAAATCCGTGGATGACAAAAGGTTTAATCAAATCTTCAAAGAAAAAGCAAAAACTCTATGAAAAATATCTACGACATAAAACATATCACAATGAAATAATATACAAAAACTACAAAAATTTGTTTGAAAAAAACAAAAAATTATCAAAAAAATCTTATTATGAAAAGCTATTGGAAAAAAGTAATGGAAATACAAAAAAAACTTGGAATATAATAAAAGAAATAATTGGCAAAAATATTTCGATTAAAAACAATTTGCCACAAAAACTGTTAATTGATGAAAAAGTTGTTTATGATAAAGAAACCATAGCTGAAAAGCTAAACCGTTTTTTTCTTGAGATTGGTCTAAATCTGGCGGCTAAAATTCCATCTAGTACCATAAAATTTGAAACATACCTCAAAACAGCAAATAATGTTATGACAGAACTAAATTTAAATAAAAGTGAGTTGCATAATGCCTTTTGCTCTCTGAAAAATAACAAAAGTGCAGGCATAGATAAAATTAGCGTCAATGTAGTTAAATCAGTCTTTGATATTATTGAACCCTTATTGTTTCACATTTTTAATCTCTCATTAACGTCTGGTGTTGTACCAGACAAACTTAAAATAGCTAAAATCATACCGATTTTTAAGTCAGTTGAAAAAACAAATGTTTCAAACTATAGACCTATTTCTGTATTACCTTGTTTCTCTAAATTGCTAGAACGCATTATGTACAATAGGCTTTATAATCATCTAGTATCAAATAATATTCTGTACAACAAACAATTTGGGTTTAAAAAAAATCATTCTACGGATCACGCGGTAATTGAGTTTGTAAACCATATATCGGATGCTTTTGATAAAGATTATTTTACCTTAGGAGTTTTCATTGATTTATCCAAAGCATTTGACACTGTCAATCATGAAATCCTTATAAAAAAATTAAAACTTTATGGAGTTAACAACTTAAACTTACTTTGGTTTAAAAACTACTTGACTAACAGAAAACAATGCATAATCTATGAAACAAATGAAACCAAAAAAAAACTTATAAATTGCGGGGTTCCTCAAGGATCTATCTTAGGACCATTATTGTTTCTAGTATATATAAACGACTTACTTTTAGCATCTAAAAAATTATACCTTATATTGTTTGCTGACGATTTCAATCTGTTTTATTCACACAGAGATATAAAAATTCTCTTTAACATTTTTAATGAAGAATTATCTAAAGTAAATGAATGGTTTATAAGTAACCGCCTTTCACTAAATGTAGATAAAACTAAATTCATCCTGTTCCACAAACCAAATAAAGTTGATAAAATTCCACTTAAACTGCCAAATCTTTCATTCAATAAAACAGATGTAAAAAGGGAATCTACTGTTAATTTTTTAGGCGTAATTCTTGATGAAAATTTGTCATGGAAGTTTCACATCCAATCTATTGAAAGTAAAATCTCTTATAATATTTCCGTACTTTATAAAACAAAACCATTTTTAAACGCAAAAGCTCTAATGAAAATTTATTTTTCATTTATTCACAGCTATCTTTCTTACTGCAACATTGCATGGGTAAGTACGAATTACGGAAAACTCAAAAAACTTTATAGTAAACAAAAGCATGCTTGTAGGATTGTATTTGGGGCAAACAGAACTGTTTATTGCGAACCACTATTAAATCGTCTCAAGGCCTTAAATATTTATAAACTAAACATTTACCAAACATTACTTTTCATGTTTAAAATTAAAGATGGAATATCTCCACTTATATTTCAATCTTATTTTAGCGAAATATCTCATAAATATCCAACAAAGTTTTCAGAGGATAACTTAATTGCTCCGAGAATAAATTTAAAAATAAGTTCTTATCAAATTAAATATCGAGGACCTTTTTTATGGAAAAATTTTATTAAAAACTTTAATAAAGAACACTACTCTTTAGAAAAATTTAAAGCAGTTTCTAAAAGAATCTTACTTCAATTAGATTTTAATTCAATAGACTTTAAGTATTTTTTTTAAAAGGAAATTTTAAAATAGAAACAAACGCTCCCATTATCATTAAATATATTTTGTTATATGTATCAAATATATTTGTATTAGTAAACAAAACTTTCTTTACTTTTAAATTTTAATATAAATGTCATTTTATTATTTGACAAAAGTTATGTACTCTTTAACGTTTTTTTGTATATTCTATTTATATTTGTTTATAAACACGCACAATTTGTAAACGGGGCTCGGTGATAAGACAGTCATTGTCTTCTTCTTTCTCCGGCCAATTTTTATAAATGTAATATGTCTATATTGTAAATATATGAAACGGCAAAAAAAAAAAAAAAAAAAAAAAAAAAAAAAAAGTTTTCATTTGTTGGAAAAGCTATCAAATGTAATAAATATGTCGCTGAACGAGAAACTAATAGTCAATTTTTGTATATATGAAATATAAAAGTTCTAACATTACTATATATAATTTTATTTTACATATGATATATAAAACTTATAAATAAAATATTTAATATACCTTGTTTGTATATATATATATAATAAAACATAAAATAAAACTAAACGACAATTTTAATTTTCACGGTTTGACATAATCAGAAGTTAAAAAAACTACAGGTGTTCTATGAAGTGGAAGAAAATCGTGCATTTATTCTTTGTAAACAAATATTGAAAAATGAATTTAGTAAAAACTATTAACTAACAATTGCAAATGTCTGATAGAAAATTTTTATGGATAGTACAATTTTTTATGGATAATACAATTTTTTTGCTGATAACTTTTTATTTTTAATTTATCAAAGTAATATTACGGTTTTTGAGTAAATTTTTAAAGCTAATTGGGCGACCCACAAATAGTGTTATGTTTTCAACAAATATGGTAAAACTATTACTTAAGGTTAAGTTAACAATACCTCTAACTTATTTAAAATTATAAAACATTACATTTTGTTTAGTTTTGGACATGACTAATGAATGCATACGTGTACTTTTTATTTTTTCACATTTAAATCGGATATTTTTAAAACAAATTTCAAAGAAACCAACTTTTAATTTTGCTCTATAACGCTCTTTAAAATATCTTAATAAAAGAAAAAAATAACTTATTAGTTACCAGGTCTCCGTTCTGCCCTTAATAGGATTTTAAAAATTATTTTAGGTTAAATACAATTCCTATGTTAAAATAGTTCCAATTTTTTAGTAAACAAATATTACATTCTGATACATCAACAAAATCATTCTTAACCGCATATAAAGTTGAACAGTAACTCTTTAACTGAATCATTCTTAATCGCATATAAAGCTGTACAGTAAAACAAAACTCGCAAAACTGAAACTAAAGCAAAATCAAAATGGTTATTATATTTTTATTTTTTATCTGAAACAGCTTATTTTAAATTAAAGATATTTCCTAAATCCATTTGATATTAGTAATGATATTTTGTAAGATCGTCTATGTAATGCAGATGATCATTGTACAAAGTACAAAGAAAGTTTAAAATTGTGGTAGAGAAACCGGGTAATTTTGTCCCACATGGAATCAAATTTAAGAGAGAGAAAGAGAGAGAGAGAGAGAGATAAAGAGAGTATTAACAATGAAAAATCCTCATTACTTCATAATGAATAACATTTTTTTATAATATAGAATGTTTATTATATTTTCATAGGTGGCTTTTATAATCGCATTGTAGCTTGTTCTTTTATTGGACCTGGTTGTAGCTATACATTACAAGGTTTTTTCAAAAGCACAGACACTCCAGTTGAAAACTTTAATAATATTTCTTTAAATCTACGTAAGTTTTTATTTTTATAAGATTTAATTAAAATAGTTGTTTATTATTAAATAATGAAATAAATTACTAATGTAAGTTAATATAAAATTATAAATTAATAGACCTAACCCAGCCGGCACAATGACGTTGAAATAACGTTGAAACAACGTCGCAAACCGACCATATGCCACGTTGAAACAACATTGAAATTTGGTTGAATTGGAAATAAAATCCGACGTCGAAAACTACGACGTTGAAACAACGTCGATGATTACGTCGTTTCAACGTTGATCTAACGTCTTATCGACTACATATCAACCATATTTCAACTTTGAATAGGTGATAAATTAGATTGATACGTAGTTGATAAGACGTTAAAACAACGTTGAAACAACGTAAATTCAACGTTGATTTTTGTATTTTATTTTGATTAAATCCAATTAACTAAAAAACTTTCTCAACTTTAATTGCAATAAATTAACACAATAAAAAAGCAATAATTTGCGCAGAGGATATTATATTTCGCGTAAATTAATCAGATACAACTAAATTGCTCCAACGGACTTTATATACAATGCAAATAAAATAAAATGTTTGAAAAAAAAAAGTTTTATTTATCAGTATTATATTTATCAATTTATCAATAATAACTATTATCAATAGTTCCAGAACAACTAGGAAAAAGTATGAATGTTATACATCGGGTTAATCGCCTTTTACGCGCCGACCACCACCATTTGATCTGTCGAGTGCGTATTTTAATAAATTCATTATTCCTTTTCTTATTTCGGCAACTGTAGCAGTCACTTTAATTGACAAAACTCTCTCTATAAAAAAGGTATTGCCTGAGTAATTTTCATCAAATACATCAAAAAGTTAAAAATAAAATAGCATTAAAAAAACGAACTGTGAAAAATAAAATAGCATTAAAAAAACGAACGAATTTTAAAAATATATAATTTTACACTTAACTTACAAGTAAATACCTAATGTTTGTTCCTTTAAATTTCTCTTTACCTTTAACGTCAGCCATATTAAATTTTGATTATAAACCATTGGTCAACAACCTACATTATACACTGTTAATAATATCATAGTAACAAAAATTGATATACATGTCTTTTACAAAATACAAATTATTCTTAATGAAAAATAGCACAAAGGTTTCTTACCAAAGGTTTCTCACCCAACGCAAAAGGTTTCTTACCAAACCGTAATGCAAGTAAGAAAAAGAGTTCATACAGGGGAAGAGTTTGGTCCAAGGAGACCACCTTCTAAACGCAAGAAAACACCAAGAGCGGACAGTATAATCAGAAATATCTGCCTGGAAAAAAGAAAAAAAGCCACTAAGCTTATCCATGGAGCTGTAATTGTTGTGTCAGACCAGACCATTTGTAGAAGGCTAAAAAAAGAAGGATTGATGTCCAGCCGAAAATGTCAAAAATTGACAAAAAAATTTAAAAATAATGTCAAAAATCTTATATTTATGCAAGATGGTGCAACTTGCCACACAATAAAAACTGTTATGGCTTAGTTGATGCATTGCTATAGCCAGACAACTCGTATGATCTTAACCCCATAGAAAATATTTGGGAAGTAGTAAAGCAAGAGATTGGAAAAAAAAAATCTTACTCATAAGCAAGATCTTATGGAAGAGATTATCAAGATCTAGCATAATAACCCAGAGTTGACAGAAACTATAAAAAATAAATTGCAAGCATGCCACAATGCAATGAAGCAGTTATTGCAAATAAAAGTGTTTTTGCAAAATTTTTATACTTTATATATACAGTTGTGTGACAATTTATTATGGGCACCTATGAGTTTTGATCATTTTGAAATTTAATCTCATTTTTTTCATATGAAGAGTAAAAATTCATTATTGAAAGTTAATCTTCTGTTTAAAATAAAGTTTTAACTTATAAAATCAATGGCAACACTGTCACTTTTGACAGCCATTTTGTATGATGTCATCTTAATTATAATCTTTTTGCTGTACACTTGTTAAGTTTTATTACCAGAGTTTTGAATTCTTTTATTAGGTTATCGTCATATTACTTATTTAAATCAGTAAAAATTTCTTGAATATTTCTTTTTATTTTAAATTAAAAATAGTTGTATTTAGTTTGATATTTTTAAAGTTATGAGTACCAAAGCAAATTCTAAACTGTTATGTGATACTGATATGTGATATCTTATTTTAGTTATGAGGGAAAAAAAAACTTGTCACAAAAAATTGCTGAAATCAGGGCACTTTTAATAAATACTGATCATTCTCAATGAAAAATAGCCAGAAAATATGGTATTTCGCGGGTATCTGTACAAAATATACACAAAAAATGCTAATATGGAGAACTTGATGCCAAAGAGGGTTTGTAAATGTGGAAAAAAGAGAATCCTAACACCATGCAGGAAATGAATACTTACCAAGATTGTTCTAGAAAATAGACGGGCCACCAACAACAAAATAACTAATAAGCTGGGCCAATCTGGAGTCAACATGTTGAAGAGAACGGTCCAACATTGCCTACACAATCTTGGTTACATTTCACGACGTCCAGCTAAGAAGCCTAAACTGACACCAAAAATTGTACAAAAAATGCTTGAGTGGACAAAAAAGTATAGGAATTTAACATATGATTGGTAATTAATAAAATTAATTTAGATGAATTTAAAATATCCACTTTCTTACACCAAACTTTAAATATTCATTTAATGATCACTTAACAATCCTTGTATAATATTTGAAGGTATGCTTTAGCGGCGAGAGTACTTTTAAGTTTTAAAAAGAAAAAAAGGGAAAAAATATTTATTGGACTGCATCATGCAAACTGTTAAACACCCCACCTCTGTGATGATCTGATCAATGAAATGTGTAAAAGAAATAGGAAGGTTCTATATTGCAGAATGAAAAATGTTACAGTTACAATATAAAAATGCTGGAACAAAGATTGTTGTCACAATTGGCAGAATAGTTTAGTCCAGGTGAAAAAAAAGCCTTCATGCAGGACAGGGCATGACCATGTCGCACAGCTAAATCAGTTTAAAATTATCTATCAGAACAAAATAATCCATTACTTAATTGGCCAGGAAACTCTTCTGACCTAAATCCTATAGAAAATGTTTGGGCGCTCCTAAAGAAGCAAATATCTAAAAAATTATTACAAATAAAGTGTATTTAATAGAAAGAATTATTCAACATTGGAACTATAATAAAGAATTGAAGGAAATGGCTCAAAAATGCATTAAAAGTATGCCAAAAAGGGTTCCTGCAATTATAGAGGCAAAGGAGGAATCACCAAATATTGATCTTGAATATATTTGCAGTAATATTTGAATAATAAAATTTATTTAATTTGAATAATAAAATTTATTTAATAATATTTTAATAATAAAATAATAAACAATATGTTAAATGCTTTTATTTGTCAAAAAAATACCGATTTCTTAAATAAAAGTTACTTTGAGTACATAAATCCCAAAAAAATACTAAAATAATAGACTTTGAAACTTGATAATTTTGAAAAATTGTGGGTGGCCATAATAAATTGTCACACGACTGTATTTTATATAATTTATCATAATAATCAATAAATATTCAAAATGTTCATCTTTATTTATTTGTTTTTATCAAGTACAACTTTATAAATAAAAGAAAAAACTTTAAATTGCACTATTAATATTATATATATATATATATATATATATATATATATATATATATATATATATATATATATATATATATATATATATATATATATATATATATACATACATATATATATATATATATATATATATATATATATATATATATATATATATATATATATATATATATTCATATAATGTATTCATATAAGCACATGTATGTATATATACATACATATATATGTATGTTTATTTATGTACATATATATGTATGTATATATAGAGTAAAAAAAAAGGTTAAGTATGCGTTACAAATCAATCTTTGTAATTTAAGGTTGTTCTTTAGCTCAAGGAAATACAAAAGTAAGAGAAAACAGTTACAAAAAAAATTATAATCAGACATAAAAAAAAAAGATTCATTTTGTGTCTGATTAGAATTCGTCAAACTTTTAAAAATATATGCTACACAGATTTTAACACAAGTTTAAAACAAACTATAAAAAAGATTCAAAAGATTTTTTATTTAAAACTACTTTTAACAAACCTTTGCATCACATGTATTTGTATTTGTCTTAATGGTTTTACCTCCAATTTTAGAAAGTTTGTTAACCTAAAGGTTTAAGAAAATAATTACACCACATTATTTTTACAGTACATTTATAAAAAGTTACAATTAGATTAACTTAGGCTAAGTTATTAATAAATACTTAATCAAAAAACAATAACAAAAACTGCAAAAAGTCATGGTTTGAAACAACCTATCAGTTCTGACTTCACCCAAGAATCATTTAAACTGTTATCCATAAGAATTTCAGAACTATTTCTCATGATATTACTTTAATTACTGGAAAGAGTTTTTACTAACATCTCTTTTTAACAATAAAGATATATCAGAAAGACAAAAGAACCAAACATTAATTAATTTCTAAAAGTGTTGAAACACAAGAACAAAAAATTTATAAAATAAAACATTATTCATAAATTAAATAAAATGTATTAACTTAGCAACCAAAGAAATGTGTAAATCACTGAAGCATAGAAAAAAATGTTCAGAATCTTTTCTTTATAAATCAACTAACAGACAGACAATTAATACCTTGAGCTACAGTATGTGGAGTATGCATAAAAAATGTTTTCTGTTTCTTTTTTTGCGTTACAGGAGTAGTTATTTGCTTACTATTCTGTTGGTTATTATGTTTTCACTTGCATAAGCATGGTAGTGGCTCCTATAATAATTAATATCAAAACATAACTAATAATACTTGAATTAAGTATCTTTTGAAATAGTTACTGTTTTCTGAACCTGATTCTATCTGAGTATCACTTATAGAGGCAAATTCAAATTTATTACATAACTCATGATCTAA